ATGTTTAAATAAATTATTTCACTGCTGGTTTCGTCTCTCAGTAAAACTAAAGTGTGTTGGCGGTGATGATTATCATTATATTATTATAACGATATTGATATACAATATATATAAAACAAAACCTGAATACCCGTGACTAATACTATCACTTTCAAACAAGATGTAAGTAAAAGTAAACATCAACAACAACGATTCATCATTAAGTCTTGATGATCAGGTGTGTTACCAGCCGGCCGCAGTGTGAAAGTTTTTGTGTTAACTTGCTTGTTGACCAAGTCTGTTTGCCATATTGTAATTTATTTATTTCGGCTTTTTATTCATTTATGTTATAAAGGGAAATTATAGATAATCTTTTCAGCTAGTTAATCTTCAAACAAAATTTTAAAAATGAAGAATGCCAGATTTAAGGACGTATATAACTACAGTAAACTTTTGAAAAGCTGTATACATTCTCATCCAGTAGCAGCATGCAAAAACCCTGGCGTTTCCATATTGCTGCTTGTTTTTGTTGTGGTTTGTAGAGCTCTCATTTACGGTATTATTTTACTAATGTGATAAGTATTAGTTTAGTTTTTTCTAGGCGACAGATTATATAATCTGCAGGGAAAATAGGATGACTTGCATGTGACAAAATTTGGAATTTATTTAGCTCTCAAAAAAAAAAAAAAAGGTGGTTTCCTACAACTCAACAGTTGCATTTTGCAATTGTTGCATCAACTCTTGTCTCTTACTCTCTAGTCCTACAAATTAGCCCTACCAGACATGAGGCCCTGAACCTAACTGCCACTTATGCCTGAGCTTCTGGGCATTAACACGAAAAACCAACATACAAAAATATTAGTTACATGCAAACAAGGGGTTAGAAGTTAGAATAAGTGAAAACCTGGAGACATTGTAGAAAATAAAATTTTGGCTCTACTGGCAAATTTGGCCGGTAAGCTGGACTGCTTCGGCTGGCTTAGCGGGGATTCGTGGGAGTTATGTCCCTTGGCCAAACTCAAAACAACTCACGGAAAAAGTCACGAATCAAACGGCATACTTACCTATCATCATCCGGGTGCGTGTAGGGTTGCGTAGGGTGTCTATCATCGTCCTACGGTTGCGTGTAGGGCTGCTTATTGCGTGTAGGGTTGGTTGTTTGCGTAAGATAGATGAGGGGTAGGGTTAGAGTTTAGGTGATAGGTTTAGGGTTATGGGTTAGGGTTGGGGTTAGGTGTAGCGTTAGATGCGACAATTGTGCGCCGTAGTTCCCTACAATCGCACACAGTCGCATGCACGCGCAAACAGTCGACGGACGGTGGATGCTACTGACACGGACAATTCGCCGCCACCGATTGGGGCACCAGCCGCCGCGCGCTCTTGCCGTCATATTTGTCACACTTCCAGTGGCGCCACTCCCACAAGCATCATATTGTCGGCCAGTATTTCCACCTCCTACGTGAATATTTTCACATCATCTAACCCTAACCCTAACCCTACCCCCTAATCCTAACCCTACCCCTAACCCACACCTCTAACCCTACCGCTAACCCAAACCCTACGCAACCCTACACGCAACCGTATGATGATGATGATAGACACCCTACGCATCCCTACACGCAACCGTATGATGATGATAGACACACTACGCAGCCCTACGCGCAACCGTATGATGATAGGTAACCCCAGACGCAACCCTACGCAGCCCTACACGCACCCGGATGATGATAGGTAAGTATGTCATTTGATTCGTGACTTTGATTCCGCGACTTGTTTTGAGTTTGGCGAAGGGACATAACTCCCACGAAGCCCCGCTAAGCCGGCCGAAGCAGTCCAGCTTACCGGCCAAATTTGCCAGTAGAGCCAAAATGTTTAATGGGTTTCGGTTTACCTTTCATCTAGCACCAGTATTCCACCTGTGTGTGCTAATCCACCCAGCAGGATCAGCCTTGTTTTACAAAGTAAGCATCATACGTTGCTGTTTGAGGGATACGCCCCTTTATTTTACTGTCGATCTAGTTTTAAACCTATAATTTTCAAGATTCTCCTCATTGCTTGAACTCTCACTGACTGTGTCACTTCATCAGGGAATATATTCCTCATGAAATTCTGACTCCCCAGAGTAAGAATCAACCAAAGTATCGATCACCTGTTGGACTGTGAAAAGCTAGACCTACTTCTCACTTTCCTGTAGAAGTGCTTGGTTCATCAGCCACTTGTTTCATTGTGGATTTTCATAATTTTTTCACGTTAAACCACACAAAGTAAATCCAAACACACATGGGCAGTCATTCACAATGACTAACCATGAGGTTTGATCATGATTGGTTGGTTATTTTTAGTTTGTGATACATTTTATCACGTAGTATGCAAATTATTGAAAATTGGGTACAGCGGTTAAGCGTTAGATTAGGAAATTACCGGAAAAGTGGTACAGCGGTCTGAATTTTCAGAGAATAAGAATAATTTAAGAGAGTTGGGTTTCCAAGTAGGAAGCTGGTCGTTGGTACCTTATCTCTTTGTATATTTACGCTATGTCTTCTTTATGGCATAATCTTTTGTAGTAGTATCTTAGATTCATTTCAAGCTTTGTGTGATTACGTTTCATATGTTGGACATCATTTGCTAGGGACACCCTCGAATACTATAGTATCTGGGAAACGGAAAGGCAAGACGGACATACAAGCAGACAAACTGCTACTGCTACAATCAAAAGTGAAATTCTCACTCTGCGCTAGCTGCTAAAGATGAGGACGAAGCACTCGTGGAAATGTCCCGTGTGCTGTGACGTCAGATGTTAGCCCCCCCCGTGTGGGTTCCGGGGCCCCATTGTGGGGAAAACAAGAATAGACCCACTGCCTCCCCAAAAGCATGTCGTAAGAGTCGACTAATTGGGGAGCTTCCTTTGAAGTCGGAGTGCATCTGCCGGAGAGGCAAGAAACCAACAGTCTGTATTCAAGAGAATGAGATCTGTAAAACTGATGCACACGCAACACTCAGGTTCTGAAGCAGGACTGCAGTTCAGTAGTGGACGAGCAACCAGAACCTGCCGCCAGAGTGTACAGCTGGTGAACGCGAAGAAGAAGAAGAAGCAGATGTTAGCCGAACTGAACTCAATCTGATAATTAAAATGAAGACAATTTCTTTATAATCTTCAGATGTCAGCTGCTGAAGGTAGCAGTTAATAAGTTAGCCCTGGCTTGTTTACAACTCTATAGTGCTTGTCTTCAGATAATGCAGGCTTAGTCCAATATATGATTTCATTTTTAGCCCTGTGTGGGTTTCTGGACCCCATTGTAGGGAAAAATAAGAATAGACCCACTGCCTCCCCCCCCCTTCCCAACAAGCTTGTCATAGGAGTTGACTAACTCGGGGCTTCATTTCAAATCAGAGTGCATCTGCCCATGTGGCAAGAAACGATGAACTGCACACAAATAAGCCAGTTAAACGGATGTACTGTACACACAAAACTCAGGCCCTGGTACAAAGTCAAAATCAAAGTGGGCGAACAACCAGGACTTTCCCTGGTGCTTACAGTTGGTAAACGAAGAAGAAGAAGATTTTCTTTTGTTCTGAGTATGTTGCAGCAAGGTTTTTCATTACAGTTTTGCCACTTTTTAGTATTAGCTGCACCTTAGCTAGTTTGTATTTTATTTATTTTGTTTTCTTTATTTTGATAAAAGGAGATATGAGGAACTTTTTATGATGGAATTATCCTGTCAGGAAAAAATTGAGATGTTAGTACTCTAGTATATATGGTAAGTTACCTCATATTTAAAAACATGCATGCTTATCAATTATTAGAATTACAGCAAATGAATGACACTTTCTTGCAGGCTATTTTTCTGAATTTTTAACTCTGTTGGAGAATATTCCATCTTCTCATGCTGATTTCCTTCAGTATTTCTTGTTTTTTATATATATAGTAAAGTAAAGGACCCTTTACCACACCTTTAGGCATATAGGGCTAGACCTATATTTTTATAGACCATCAGCACAAGATGGGTGATGTGGTCAACATCACGCCGGCCGCCTCTACTTCCCGGGACTGCACCCGGTACCAACTCAAGGTACCCACCTGAGAGCCAAGGTCATTTTTGAAAAAAGTCTGGCTCCACCAGTGTGCGAACCCACAACCTTCCGATCTGCAGGGAGCATCAAGCCGCTCCGCCACGGGGACTTCCATATATTTATATATATATATATGTATATATATAATTTATCTCTGAATTCTAATCTTCTTGTACCTTTTAAATTTCAGTAGAACTATCTAGATACACTATTTTCCCCAATAATATTTTCCCCAATTTTCACCTGATACCATTTCCTATCTTATGGTCTTTTGTCATCTCTTGCTGATACCCATTTCCTCCACATATAACCTATATTGCTGACTTTTTTCTGGCAAGTCCGTTCCTTTTTTTTTATTCACTATTATTTTAAGCGATATTTAAGGATGCTTTGTGGTAAGTTCTGGCACCTTTCTTTTTTTTTTTTAAGACACTTTATGTTGACTATCTAACTGTTTTGTAGAAGAAAAAAAAACCTGCTTAAATCTATATCTAATTCACTTGTTTACAAGTTTGCCTCTTTGTCAAGTGGGTAATAGTTACAGAAAATTCTGGCAATACCAGTATCAAGTTTTGTTATTAATGTATGTTTTAATTTAACAAATATTAATAAATTACACTTCTCACCAAATTATCTTTAGCAGATACGTAAATTACATTTGTTTTTAAAAATCTACATTTTTTTTTTTCTCTACTAGTCAGGGCTATCTGTAGCCATTTTATTGAATATTATAAATACTGTCGTTTTAAATTTTACTTACTGAAAGATTTAGAAAGACCACATAGAAAACATTTATGTAACTATGTTTCTAGTATTATGTACACTCACACAAATAAGAATATTCATAATTTATTATTCATTTTTTCTCAGACAAACTGCAGAATTTGCTGGTGCTCTTGAATTTCTACTCATAAAATTGCAACTAGAAGGAAATAACTGGAGGGAAAGAAATGATACAAATAATTCATCCTGTCACACATGTTGATGATCCAGAGAAGGATAGAATCAGTTACGGTAAAAAATTTTTGGAATACTTGTAAATGTATGAAGTTAAGGTCACGTGGATCAGCTTCATTGTACCAGGTTTTATCGAATATGATTCAGTTTTCCCCGCACCCCCGTGTGGGTTCCGGGGCCCTATTGTGGGAAAAACAAGAATAGACCCACTGCCTCCCCAAAAGCATGTCGTAAGAGTCGACTAACTGGGGAGCTTCCTTTGAAGTCGAGTGCATCTGCCTGAGAGGCAAGGAACCAGCAGTCAGCATTCAATTGAATCAGATCTGTAAAACTGATGCACACGCAACACTCAGGTTCTGGAGCAGGACTGCAGTCCAGAAGTGGACGAACAACCAGAACTTTACACCAGAGTGTACAGCTGGTGAACGTGAAGAAGAAGAAGTTTTCCCCACAGAATGGCTAGCTGAGAACATCACACAAAGCACAAACTGCATAGCTCTATCGACAATCTCTAGGGATCAACGGAAAAACTGCACTTGTGAACCGAACGGTGCACTTTGAAATGCACCCCCAGACCTTCAGATCATGAGGCGGATTATTTAACCACTTTCCATGTGGAGACTCCCTTCAACTGTATCAAAGGGGTTTATGTATTTACCTGGAGAGTCAGTGGTCATCGTTCACTCCCCAGAAAAGGGAGAATTTTCTTTCCTTTACCATTGCGGTTTCTGGGTCTACTCAGCTTCATTAAAATGGGAACTAGGAATTTTCAGAACTGTCAGGAAGGAAAAATATATTTGTGGTTATGTTAATGATGATGAAACTTGGGAGAGAGAGTTAGGTCGGGTGTGTTGTTAAAAGCTGATGTCCTTAGTGCAAAGAAGGCTGTCGGTGAGCCCTTGTGGTGGTTAGTTACCAGCCATAGTCTTATTGAACTAGATCTGTAGATTCTAACACTACCATCTGAAAAGACTGAAAGGTGCCAACAAGCTAGCTGCGAAGGAAAGGCAACATGAATGGAATTGGACAGTTTAGGTTTAGAGGACTGATCAACATCATGGCACAAGGGTGGTCAGTCAAAACGAGTTGCTGAGCACATTCCAGTATGGGTGAAAAATAAAAGCCATGCAAAATAATATTCAGAATGAGAATAATGGCCACAAAGATCACCCCTCTACAAAAGCACATCATCTTCTAAAATCTTGACACATGGTAACTAAAAACAATGCGTTTTAAATCCTTTATACCTCAACCAATGGCAGAACGCTAAGATTTCTCGAAGCTTTCGCGATTCGTCACCTGCGCCCGGAATTCTGTATACAGAAGGAGATGGTTCTATCTTTACGGCTGCCCTGGTAAAAACAGGCAGTTATGTTTGATCGTTGTTGATATTGTACTTCACTTATTTGCTTCATTTATGAAATTGTTATAGTAGTATGCACCTGACTAGATATAGCGAAATATGCCAGGCAATAAATTGTGCAATCTGTTGTTTGTGTCTTGCTGGTTCAAATTTACAACGGGGAAACATTGCTTTGATTATTTTTTTAATTTATTAATTTATTTTATGTTCAAGATATAATCAGCACTTTTCTGTGACTTTGAAGAATTTTGTTATTGCTTCTTGCTTACAAGTTATGCAGGATTCACAGTCCTTTTCTAAAATTATTCTATGTAATATGTGAGAATACTTTTTCAAGCTTTCATTTACAGAAACATTAATAAGATGTTTGTATGTTAATAAAAGTTGTGCTTGTCCTGTTCTGATTCCGGTTGATGTGATTTATCTCCCATGTAATAGAACGAATGGAAGAAAAAACTGCAAGCCCTGTGTCTGTAAAATGGCACAGCAAGATGATGATTTACCTAAGCAGTTAAAACAAAAAAGATTTAATGTTGTTGAGATATTATTTCATGATTAAATTATTCCCATGTATTTTGTTATCAACGTTTTGTTGAAATTTTGAATAAAAATATGTCTTGTGAATGCCTAAATTATTGTCCAAGTTCTTTGTTAATAGGTAATCCATTATTTTTCTTGCCTTCAGTAGAACCCCAGTGTACGTGCTGCCCTGTTGGAAGAAGTGGTCATCGGATAATAGTCACAGACGATAGCCTGTACTCTCTTGGCGGATTTAACCCTGTCCTTACTGGATATATGACTACAGTGAACGCAAGAGGGCATCCGTTATTCAAGGAGGTACTGTTTTAATACATTTGCTGCAGTGGTAAAGTGTTTAGTATGCTTACCCGATTAAATGGGTGCTTACCTGATTAAATGGCTGCTTACCTGATTAAATGGCTGCTTACCTGATTAAATGGCTGCTTACCTGATTAAATGGGTGCTTACCTGATTAAATGGGTGCTTACCTGATTAAATGGGTGCTTACCTGATTAAATGGGTGCTTACCTGATTAAATGGCTGCTTACCTGATTAAATGGGTGCTTACCTGATTAAATGGCTGCTTACCTGATTAAATGGGTGCTTACCTGATTAAATGGGTGCTTACCTGATTAAATGGCTGCTTACCCGATTAAATGGCTGCTTACCTGATTAAATGGCTGCTTACCTGATTAAATGGGTGCTTACCTGATTAAATGGGTGCTTACCTGATTAAATGGGTGCTTACCTGATTAAATGGGTGCAGGTTCCATCCTCATAAGTGATAGGATTTGTTTCCAGCCTCCCCTTGTGGGTTCCGGGGCCGCATTTAGGGGATGGAGTGGATAGACCCACTACCACCCTAACAAGCATGGCCGTAGAAGACAAATTTAGTAGTTTTTCTTTGAAGTTGGGGTACATCTGCCCGAGAGAATGGAACAGTCTGCATACCAATAAACCAGGTGTGTCAGATAGAGGTGCGAGCAAAACTCATGTTCTGGAACAAGACCAAAGTCCAGCAATGGACGAACAACCAAGACTTTGCAGTTTGCAGCCAGTGTACGCTGACAAGAAGAAGAAGGAGAAGAAGAAGAACTGTTCCCGTCATCAAAACCTTGTGCAGTTGGGTGCCATCTTCTGGGTAAGGAAAAGTGGTGGGAATGGGAGCTGATAACTCCATCCTAATTTGATAAAAGCAGAGAAAAAGTCTCTTTATATGCCAGTCCCAGGTAGACCCAGCCTTAAATGGGTACCAGGTCCAGTCCTGGGAAGTAAAGGCAGCCAGGTGGTGCTGACAACATCACCCATCTTGTGCCGATTGGTCTATAAAAATATAGGCCTAGCCCTATATGCCCTATGCGCCTAAAGGTGTGAAAAAAGTGTCCTTAACTTACTTTTACTTATATGCCAGTGGTGCATCGAACATATGAGGCTAGACTTATGTTTTAACTCTTTGAGTCCCAAGGGGTTTAGCATCACAAGCCAAATGGGTAGTAAAGAGAGACTAAAATCGACACATCATGCGTTCATTGGGCTTCTAGGTAAGAACCTATGAATGTATGATGCACTCCCTGGGACTCAAAGAGTTAATAGACCTGTTAGCTCTTGATGGGTGATGTGGTCACCATCACACCATTCTAATTTGATAGAGGCTTTTAAAAAAATTACATTATATCCCATTTACCAAAAAAAAAAAAAAAAAACACTTATAAGAGCTATAAACACAGAGACTTAGTTGAACAGATGGGCCATGGGAGACACTGGGAGAGAGGTTTATAGACATATGGCTGGCCCTGATCCTAATGACAGTATTAACTGTCTAACAAGAAGGGACCAGGCCACCATCTTCAGACTCGGAGCACAACATACTCCACTCAGTGGACATCTAAACAGAATACAGCCACGACACTACCCAAAGTGCCAGCTATGTAATTACCCCTACGAAACTGTTGAACACCATCTCTTTGAGTGCTCAAAACTCAGCGAGACTAGAAGAATGCTACTGCCTCCGGGACCAGACAAGTGGAACACCTTGTACGGAGGAAAAGAACAGCCTGTGAAAACATGCAAATTCCACTACATGGCATTGGGCCAGAGGGCGAAAGCTCATGCGCTGCTGGATCGAAAACAACAACAACAATCCCATTTACAGTGACGTGGCAATATTTTTGCACTATTTGGTCGACAAATTCATCTTTTGACATTATTGTCCTTTCTTGTTCATTGCATTCTGTATGTCAGGCTTGTCAGATCTGTGGCTGTTTTGCATGCAGTAGTTTTTTTTAATTAAATGACTTCAGTTAGTTGTCATGTATGGCCCTCATGACAACATAAATGTGACTGATATGGCCCTTGAGTGACCCTCAGGTTCACATTCCAGCTGTATGGTAACGTATGGTAATAACGTATGGTTTGATCAACAGTAAATTAATCTAAACCAGATGCCCACTTGTTATTGTACAGTTTCCTTCCAAAGTCATGATGTTTTTGTTAAAGTTAATCTAAATTGACCCAGTTTGAAATGAGCATATGGAAAAGTCCTGGGAAATGAAGGTCGCAGACAGGATTTTGAACCCATCATCATCAAGTTCCATTTAGTCTGTTAAAAACATGAGACTATCACTGTGAGGCCAGTATACCTGAATATGAGATCTTTGGTTTTCATATACCCACTATATCTAATGGCACAGCATCCTTGATTTGTGACCTTACTATCATACAGGGCATATGAAATAGTTTAACACAGGGATGCTGAGAGGATTAGCACATAGCACCTTATAAACAAATTCTAACACAGGTACACGACAGAGCATGATTTACAGGACTACTCGCAAAGAGGTTTAGCGAGCACTGCATCATACATGAAAATTCTAACACAAAGGTTTCAGACAAAGCATCATGCGAATAGATGTTAGATGGGGTTTGTGAGAACTGATGACGTGTTCTCCTGAAAGTACCGAACTTTGATATAAGAAAGAGGCTATTTGTTGCTTTTGTCTCATAAGTTCAAATCAAGTACTTTCATTTGAACCCTTTGGCCTCAAGGTGCTACTAATTCATCCTCTGGTACACATCCCAGCAGAGATGTTAAATCAGCAGTATTGCCTAGCCTGTCCACGACAATGCATTAGTGCTGTCTGAACTTCTGCAGTGTTGCCTTAACCTGTCCACAAGAAGCCTCTGCATTAGTGCTGTATGCAACTCTGCAGTGTTGCCTTGGCCTGTCCATGACAAGCCTCTGCATTAGTGCTGTATGCAACTCTGCAGTGTTGTCTTGGCCTGTCCACAACAAGCCTCTGCATTAGTGCTGTTTGCAACTCTGCAGTGTTGCCTTGGCCTGTCCACAACAAGCCTCTGCATTAGTGCTGTTTGCAACTCTGCAGTGTTGCCTTGGCCTGTCCATGACAAGCCTCTGCATTAGTGCTGTTTGAACCTCTGCAGTGTTGCCTTGGCCTGTCCATGACAATGCGTTAGTGCTGTTTGAACCTCTGCAGCGTTGCCTTGGCCTGTCCACGACAATGCGTTAGTGCTGTTTGAACCTCTGCAGTGTTGCCTTGGCCTGTCCACGACAATGCGTTAGTGCTGTTTGAACCTCTGCAGTGTTGCCTTGGCCTGTCCACGACAAGCCTCAGCATTAGTGCTGTTTGAACCTCTGCAGTGTTGCCTTGGCCTGTCCACGACAATGCGTTAGTGCTGTTTGAACCTCTGCAGTGTTGCCTTGGCCTGTCCACGACAATGCGTTAGTGCTGTTTGAACCTCTGCAGTGTTGCCTTGGCCTGTCCACGACAATGCGTTAGTGCTGTTTGAACCTCTGCTGTGTTGCCTTGGCCTGTCCATGACAAGCCTCTGCATTAGTGCTGTTTGAACCTCTGCAGTGTTGCCTTGGCCTGTCCACGACAATGCGTTAGTGCTGTTTGAACCTCTGCAGTGTTGCCTTGGCCTGTCCACGACAATGCGTTAGTGCTGTTTGAACCTCTGCAGTGTTGCCTTGGCCTGTCCATGACAAACCTCAGCATTAGTGCTGTTTGAACCTCTGCAGTGTTGCCTTGGCCTGTCCATGACAAGCCTCTGCATTAGTGCTGTTTGCAACTCTGCAGTATTTAACAGGGCCAGGTGTGGGGTGTGTTACTGTGAAGAAAATGACTTCTTTTCTCTTTATGATTTCATAATTCGCCTTTAGCCATCGCATAATGAGTGACAAATTAACTGTATGAGTCATCATATACATTCATTTTTAAAGCCCAAGAGAATGTATTCTATTTAGTTCTCAATACCTTTCATTTTTATTCAAGTGCCTTTAAGTTTCTACACACAACTTATTGAACTTTATTTAAATACATTTTAAACAAGTATTAGTGACTTATGTCAGATGGGTGTTTCTTTCATTATTTTTTTAACAGGGAGTTGCCAGGTTCCGGACCATTTTTTCCCCAGGGTTTCTGTGGCAAAAGTTGATAAGATATAAATACAAAGGGGAAAAAAAGACTGTGGACGTAATACAATTTAGAACTTTATTTATTGTTAATAGTTGATATATATTCCATCAGTTTTTAGTATATTAAACGCTCCTAAATTGAAACTTTCTTACTTTTGTTATGAAACTTTACACATTTCCAGTTATGGAGGTTTAATTTGAGCACTCGTAAATGGCATCTCTTAGATGACTTCTACAGCGTTCCTCCGACTATTGCTTCTCACACAAGTAAGTACACACACTTCGCATATTTCACACTTGTAAATTATACATTATTTGAAATATTCTTTGTTAATAAAAACAGGCTACAGTTACTACCATAACAGATATTAAGTCATCGGCATTATCATCTGCCCGCCGGTAAGCATAAGTGGTCATATTTTGAAATATCACATGATCACAAAAATCATGGATCAGGTCAGTGCTCTTGTCTTGCCACATCCATATGGCCAGTTCATCCAGGAATTTATTTCTTGGCTTTCCCATTGCTTAAAAAAAAATCCAATTTGTCATTTGTAATCAAGTGCTCGAGTCAGTTCCTTCTCTAACATGTCAACAAACAAAACAAAAATACTGTCACGACTAATTACAGTAATCTTCTTCTTCTTCGTTCACAAGCTGTGAATTTCAGCGGAAAGTCCCGGTTAATCGTCCGCTTGGACTTTTGGCTTTTACCTGGACCTTGGTTTTGCGTGTACAACTGTTTTACTGGCTTTTGCCTCACAGGCAGATGTACTCCGACTTCGAGGGGAGACGTCAGGCCTATTTCTAGGATGACTGGGGCCATTGTTTTGTGTGGGCTGAGATGTTCCCCATTTCGTGTGGTGTCCTCTTTGTCCTTATTACGGTAATCAGTTTGTGATTTTCATCTGTCTCGATTTTACTGTTATTTGATGGTGTTCTTCCAGTTCTTCTCAGAAATCACATCTCTGATGCGAGTAATTGTTTGTTTTAGCATGTCTGCTTAATGTCAGTGTCTTACATGCATATAACACCACACAATATCATTCTTTTGTCTGCTTAATGTCAGTGTCTTACATGCATATAACACCACACAATATCATTCTTTTGTCTGCTTAATGTCAGTGTCTTACATGCATATAACACCACACAATCTCATTCTTTTGTCTGCTTAATGTCAGTGTCTTACATGCATATAACACCACACAATCTCATTCTTTTGTCTGCTTAATGTCAGTGTCTTACATGCATATAACACCACACAATATCATTCTTTTGTCTGCTTAATGTCAGTGTCTTACATGCATATAACACCACACAATCTCATTCTTTTGTCTGCTTAATGTCAGTGTCTTACATGCATATAACACCACACAATCTCATTCTTTTGTCTGCTTAATGTCAGTGTCTTACATGCATATAACACCACACAATCTCATTCTTTTCCTCAGTTCAGTTGACATCTTTTTATTGGTTTCTTTTCTATTTTGCTGAAAGTTACTTTAGCCCTGACGATTCTTGTTCTAATCTCTGCGGGACGTCTTGTGCTAGATGTTATAACTATTCCTCCCCTAATGGGTTCCGGGACCCCATTGTGGGGGAAAAAAAAGATTAGATCCACTGCCTCCCCAACAAGCATGTCCTAATAGTTGACTAATTGGGGGACTGTCTTCGAAGTTGTTTTTAGGTGTCAATATTCAATTTGTTGGGAGTTGCCGTGGTAGAGCCGCTAGATGCTCACTGGCGGTGCCAACTTTTTTCAAAAAATGACCTTGGCTCCCTGGTTGACCCATCCTTAAGTGGGTACTAGGTGCAGTCCTGGGAAGTAAAGGTGGCCGGCATGATGCTGACCACATCACCCATCTTATGCCGATTGGTCTATAAAATATAGGTCTAGCCCTATATGCCCTATTCGCATAAAGGCGTGGAAAAGGGTCCTTTACTTTTTTTTTTTTAATGTTTTAGTTTATTTATGTGTGTGCTTTGTATGTAAAAAGTTATTGTGTATCCTCTTTTTTTTCCTTCGCTTTTCATCTTCACTTACTAGGATATTACTTCGTACCCAATGTAGGCTAGGTCCCTATGTCAGTTAATGTGGAATTGAACCCAAGACCTTCAGACTAGCAGGCATGCATTTAGCCAGTATGCTAATCTAGCTCCTAACAAAACCTCTACTAGTGTTTTTATATAGTCCTGAATGTCATACACTTAAACAAAAATATATAATTCTAAAAGAATTTCCTGTGTGAGTTTCAGGCACCATTTTTAGAAACAATAATAGACCCGCTGCCTTGTAAAAGTTGACAAATAATTTTTCTTTGTTAAAATCAGATGTTCAAAGCAATGTTTCTCCATTGTAAATTTTAGCAAAGAAGACACAAACAATAGATTGCACAATTTATTGCCTGGCATATTTCGCGGTATCTAGTCATGTGCATACTCAGTGGCAGAACGCTAAGATTTCCTGAAGCTTCCACGATTCGTCACCTGTGCCCAGAACTCTGTAAACAGAAAGATATAATGTGACTTTATGGCAGCCCTGTAAAACAGGCAGTCATGTTTGATTGTTGTTGAATTTGTACTTCCGTTATAAAGGATTCACTTATCTGCTTCATTTATGTAATTGTTACTGTAGTATGCACCTGACGAGATACAGTGAAATATGCCAGGCAATCAATTGTGCGATCTATTGTTTGTGTCTTCTTTGTTCAGAAATCAGATGTGCTATACAGAATAGCACAGATATCGCAGCCATGGTTCAAGCAATTTTTTTTACATTTCTTGTTTTCTTCCCAGTTGCAAAAGTCGGCAGATGGTTGTTTTTGTTTGGGGGAACAGCCATTCCATTTGGAGAGACTCCTACTAGTGCCCTGTACAGATATGATCTTCAGTCATCCAAACATCCAGCAAGCGGTGACCGCTGTGATTGCGATGGACATGCAATTCGTGGGGATGAAGTTGCGCATGTTCGAATATCTAACCACTGGCATCTTATACCAGTTGCAGGGGACATTCCTGAAGAAAGATATGGACATGTAAGTTTCAGATATGTACTTGAGTAGTGCACAAGATAACTTTGATAATGTTTTGTCAGTAAAAGGTCTCTTAAAGCTTTTAAAAAAATAATTTGCCTATCCTTTACAGGACATTGCAGAACCAACCCCAGCATTTTTTTTATTGTTGGGGTTTTTGTAGGCAAGTTTTCATCCAGTAATTTGTCATTATTGTCATTGTCAAAAGAATGCCAATGTCATTATCACTTAAAAGTTTATGGTAAGCACCAGCAAGGAGATCAAAATTAGAATTTTGAGAGCATGCATCTTCCCTGTGGCTACATACGGATGTGAGTCGTGGACTATCTCTCAGTCCTTAAGAAAGAGAATAGAGGCTTTTGAGCTGAAATGCTATAGAAAGATTCTCAGAATATCTTGGACAAAGAAGAGGATAAATACTGACATCTTGAAAGATCTGAACATCAATGAAGATTGGCTTAATAAACAGTATCCTGTCTAGGAAGCTAAAATATTTTTGTCACATCAAGTGCCACGACGGATTGGAAAAAAATTATAGCAGAAGGCATGGTACCAGGAAGGAGCGGCAGAGGCCGACCAACATGAAGATGGGCACAGGATATAAGTGACTCCTTGAGTACGAAAGTACATGAGACGGGAGATCTGGCGAGAGACTGAGCTTCTTTCTGGCAGACTGTGATGGGAGTGTCGTTCTGCAAAGGACCTGCTATATGATGATGATGAGTTTGTCATTGCTTTCTGGGTGGTCAGCTTCTGGATACCACTGTCGAAACTGGCGACAGGCTCGCAGCTGGGATCATTCCCGGCATTACAAAGCTCTTAAAGCTAAATCAGTTTCTAAAACATTCATTAACTGGTGCATGTTTAGAAAAGAAGGAATTAAATGGTGTGGAAGAATCACAAATGTGGAGCTATCGGAAAGTAATAATAGGTCCCCGTGAAGACAAGGTGTCAGTGTTGGATAGGATACACGTTGAGAAAACTTGAGAACAATATAACTAGAATGTCTTTGCACTAGAACCCACAGGGTGGCATATAAGTAAAGGCAGACCAAAAACAACATGGAGGAGTTAACTAGAGAGTGAAGTTGAAAAGATAGAGAGGGCGTAAGGGTGAGCTGACTGCAATAGCGAAGAATAGGACTACTTGTCATGAGTTAGTTGAGAACCTGTGGGGGTTAAAGGAAAGGAGAAGAAAGACATGTCCCATGGCTCCTAACTTATAAAGTAACAGACTTATTCTCATCATTGTTGCATATGGTATATGTGTGCTAGACTCTTATTTTTAGAGATTAGATAGCATGTAACTGAGAATGTGGGCAGATTAATGCTATCTACATTTACTTCCTGTGCCATTTTCATACTACTCATTATAGGCTGGGTCATACCGGGAGGCCACCCCCCCCCCCCCCCCCTCTTCTCCCCTGGTGGGTTCCGGGTCCCCATTGTAGGGGAAAACAAGAATAGACCCACTGCCTCCCCAAAAGCATGTTATAAGAGTCGACTAATTGGGGAGCTTCCTTTGAAGTCGGAGTGCATCTGCTGGAGAGGCAAGGAACCAACAGTCTGTATTCAAGAGAAGGAGATCTGTAAAACTGATGCACATGCAACACTCAAGTTCTGGAGCAGGACTGCAGTTCAGTAGTGAACGAACAACCAGAACTTTCCGCCAGAGTGTACAGCTGGTGAACGTGAAGAAGAAGAAAGATACCGGTAGCCGAGACTCAACCCACACTTGGACTACAGGTTACTGTGTAACTGTTTTGTAGTGCCCCAGTATAACTGTACTATATGGCTGTATAGTTGAACAGTTTCCAGGAGTGATTCTCATCCTTGTGATGTTCATCCTAAAAAACATTCATCTGTTTTCTATCCTCTGGCCTGCTACCTGAAGGCTTGACACCTGAGACTGCAGAAGCTCAATCTGGTTAGCACACCAACAGGGCAGTTTCTAGGTACCCTGTTCAACCCCACCCTTTCTTTAAAAAAGTCATAAATGGGACACCCCATAATGGCTACACAAGCTTAGTGTAGCCTGCGGTCCTGTGTGGGTAAGATAAGGAAATGATTTTATGTGTAACATATAAGCTTCACAACTGGATGATGATGATGATGATTGAAACTGTTTATTCATAATGACAAAATGTGAAAATAATGTATTACTCTGTTTTTGTTGTTGTTTATTTTGTATTAAAATAATTAAAAACCACTCACTTTCCTCAGACTATGACAATGAGTTTCCCCTATGTATATATAGTTGGTGGGACTTCTGGGTACATTTATAACTCTGAAGTCTTTCGTCTGGATCTAAGTGGTCCCATGGGAAAGTGGACAAAGCTCAGCTCAGACAGTGATCCGCGACAGCCTGTTGGCAGGTAATTATGATTATTACAAGGGGATTTTATTCATCATGTTTAGCTAAGAGTTGTTTCCCTTTGTAGCTAAATCTTCTTTATATAGAATTGTGTTTTATATTATTTCTTCTTCTTCTTTTCTTCCACCTTGTACCTCAGCAAAGTTAAACCAGTAAAGTGTCGGGGGGGGGGGGGGGGGGGGGTGTACCGTTTGTTGATGAGCTCTGTCAAGAGCACTATTAAGATTGCTGTCCATTTCTATAAGGCTTTTCTTTATGCCATCACTCCATATTTTTTGAGGTCTTCCACTTGCTCTATACCTGTTGTAACGTTTCAGTGTGGCACGCTGTGGTAGATAGTACCAGAGCATTCTTGTTAGGTGTCCAAACCACTTTTTTTGGGTTATTTGATAACCTGTAAGACTGGCTTTATTCCTAGCATTCGTCTGATTTCATGATTTCGTATTCTGTCTTTCCTTAAAAGTCCTGCAGCTCATCTAAGGCATTTTATCTCTGTTATCAGAATTATACGTTTATTAAAGGCTATAAGTGCCCACGTTTGATAGCATAGTATTATAATTGAGCTCATTGCCATCCATAACTAATGATCATGTTTCTTCACAACTTTGATCCACTAGTAGAAATGTATCATATTATGTGCTTATTATGTCTTTCGACATGATGCTGAACACATCATCCAATGAGTGCTGATTATTTTCTAGAAAATGTGTCTAGTTCTCAAGGCCCAATACACCTGAATGCATGGAAAAGGGTCCTTTACATTTCTACTGTACTTACTAATGTCTTCCCCCTGCCATGATGCAAGACATTATAATCTTCTTTCACTGCCTACCTCTGTCCCTTTTTTTTTCAATTAATTTTACTATGTGGTAAAGATGTTTCTGATTTGTCATCCTTATGTGGTCAGCTTATTGTTGACTTTTTCTTTATTTTTTCTTTATTTTGTTTTCTTTATTTGATAATCTAAGTTACCCCACTCCGGCTGTTGTCAGGGGCCCTAAACAGTTGAACAGGGTTTCAGTGACTTGTGTCACTGGATGTTGGTTGCTCGTTGAAGCGGTCCTGGTGGGGTTTGGGGTCACATATTTGGTGTCTATGATAAGTTTCCACCGTTTTAGCCATTAAAAATAATGAATTAGATTCTTCTTTTCAACATCTGTGAAACTGAAACCATATTTCTGTTGCTTCAATAAATGTTCCTAATAATTTACTGAATGTCCCATGCAATAAAGTAGTCTCTCTTCCTCTGTACCACCACTCAGTCTGACACAGCTCAAGAAACTAAGCTTCAACAGCTTGATCTAAACTGTTTATTTTTTGTTTATGACCTAGCAGATAGCATTCTTGTCTCACTAACTGTCTGTCTCTCACACACACCCTCCCCCACCCCTGAGTAATGATTTACTTCATCTTGAGGTGACTGCATTGTTGTTAAAGGTTTGAGGGATGGATAAAAAGATGACATGTGTGGTGATTTTGATTTAAATGTGGAAGAGTTGTGCAAGAAAACAACTTATAATGACCTCATCATCATCATCATGTAGTAGGTCCTTTGCAGAACGTCGCTCTCATCACAGTCTGCCTGAAAGAAACTCGGTCTCTCGCCAGTTCTCCTGCCTCATGCACTTTCACACTCAAGGAGTCACTTATATCCTGTGCCTATCTTCGTGTTGTCGGCCCCTGCCCCTCCTTCCTGGTACCTTGCCTTCTGCTATAATTTTTTCCAATCCGTCGTGGCGCTTGATATGACCAAAAATTGTCAGTTTTTGAGAATGGATGCTGTTTATTAGCCAGTCTTTCTTGATGTTCAGATCTTTTAAGATGTCAATATTTCTCATCTTATTTGTCCAAGATATTCTGAGAATCTTTCTATAGCATTTCAGCTCAAAAGCCCCTATTCTCTTTCTTAAGGACTGAGAGATAGTCCACGACTCACATCCGTATGTAGCCACAGGGAAGATGCATGCTCTCAAAATTCTAATTTATATCTCCTTGCTGGTGCTCAACCATAGACTTTTTAGGCTGTTCAATCTTTGCATTGCTATTGCCATCCTCCTTTTAATTTCTCTTGAAATGTCTCCATTGTTGTTTATTATAAAGCCTAGATTTTCAAAGTTTATGGCATTTTCAATTTCATCATCATTTATTGTTATTTTTGGGTGACATCCAGTTTTATCTGTGGACATTATTTTCATTTTCTTTAAATTCAAGATCTTCACTGTGCTTTTGGACAGACAATATTAAATTTTCTATTCCCTTTACACTGTTCGAAAAGAGGACCGTGTCATCTGCATAGCAGAGTTCCGAAATAGGGTTGCCACAAATTTTGAGCAGATCATAACTAACAAGTCTGGTCATTTTTGACATTTCTCATTATATTTTCTGCATATATATTGAATAGGTATGGTGAGAGAATGCACCCCTGCCTCATCCCCTTTTGCACCTCAAACCAATCAGATGTTTCACCAGCTGCTCTGATGGCTGCTTGTTCATGATAAAGATTTTTTAATTATATGCACTGGCAACCCCATACTTTTCATAATAGTCCACAGTTTGTGGTGTGGGACACATTCAAATGCCTTGCTATAATCAATAGAACAAGCATGAAGATCTACGTTGTATTCTCTGCATTTTTCACAAATTATTCTCATATTAAAGATGTGATCCCTAGTTCCTCTACCCTGTCTGAAACCCGCTTGTGCTTCATCTAGCTCATATTGTAATTTACTTTCAATTCTTTTCATGATAATTCGTAAGAGGATTTTGCTAGCATGACTTATTAATTCGATGGTACGGTAGTTGGAGCATAATTTTGGATTTCCTTTCTTCGAGAGAGGGATATAAACTGTTCTTTTCCACGCTTTAGGCCAAATGCCACTGTTCTTCGTATAATTACCTAGCAGACATTTATAAACCCGTAACCAAACATGTCTACTCCTGGGCTCCATGAGTGCTGTAATGTTAATTCTTAACTCAACACAATGCTATCACTTCTCCTTCTTCTTCTTGTTTTTTTTTACTTCCCCAACTCTAACATTCTCATGAATCATTAACTTAGCTCTTTCACACACTTCCACACATTATCACACTTTCACAAGTGCATAAAGTAATTAAGGTTTTCTACCAACCTGCATTTACTGTCACATGACTTTGTCAGGGTTTTTCAGCCTATACTTGAGGGGTCATTACACCATATTAACTATATTTTAAATAATGTGTAATATCTTTATTTTAACTTCCAAAAGACAGGTATTTATTGAATTATATGTAAGTACCTTTTTCACACCTAGGTATAGACATGAAACTGCTTTTGATGGGAAAAAATTGTATGTCTTTGGTGGAGGGACAGAAAGAGATGCATTTTCACTAGTTAATGTAAGTGTTAAATTTCATATATATATGGTCTTTCCTTGTTGTTCTTTTAATTATCATTTTGTTATTATAGGATGGAGTGAGTTTGAAGTTACTTGTTTGCACCTGGCTCTTGCAGACTTGATTTTGGTGAATTTTTTAAATGAAATATGATATGAATGCTATAAATTCCTCTAATTTTAATTTGGTGGATTGGACTTGAGCAAGTACACATTATAAGGAGCATAACACACACTGCTTCCCAAGCTACATTTAAAATCAGAATAGCTATCTACAAAAGAAAAAGATTTATAGCTATTATTTCTTTTTTTTTTTACTTAGTTTGTCCTTAAAAGGATGGTTGGCACAGTGTGTTGGGATTTATTTTTACTTAGTTTGTCCTTAAAAGGGTGGTCGGCACAGCGTGTTGGGGTTTATTTTTATTTAGTTTGTCCTTAAAAGGGTGGTTGGCAAGTGTGTTGGGTTAATTTTTTCTTAATTTGTCCTTAAAAGGGTGGTTGGCACGGTGTGTTGAGGTTTATTTTTACTTAGTTTGTCCTTAAAAGGGTGGTTGGCACAGTGTGTTGGCGTTTACAGCTAGGGTGTAATATCTTTTTTGGCCCAACGCATCTAATTTGAGAAAGTACTTAATTAGTCATCTTTTACGACATGGATGTTAGGGGCATTGCGTCTGCTCCCAACCCCCACCCCTAAATGGGGTCCCAGGAACCCACATGGAGAATAGCATATTTGATTCTGAAATACACATTTAGGATCCTCATTGGTGCTAGAGAATCTTTGCAGTGGGCTGAGAATCTTTGCAGTGGGCTGAGATTCTTTGCAGTGGGCTGAGATTCTTTGCAGTGGGCTGAGAATCTTTGCAGTGGGCTGAGATTCTTTGCAGTGGGCTGAGATTCTTTGCAGTGGGCTGAGAATCTTTGCAGTGGGCTGAGAATCTTTGCAGTGGGCTGAGAATCTTTGCAGTGGGCTGAGATTCTTTGCAGTGGGCTGAGAATCTTTGCAGTGGGCTGAGAATCTTTGCAGTGGGCTGAGATTCTTTGCAGTGGGCTGAGATTCTTTGGACTCAGACTTGAGTTAGAAGAAGAACTGAGCACTTGTGGGTTACTACCCATGTGCCATGATGTTAATATGTTGTTCAAAAACCTCACTTATCATAAAAGATGACTAAATAGATGTTTGCTGAAACTGGATGTGCTGGGCTGTAAGCTGCAGATGCCATGTGTTAGCTGTAAACCGCAACAAAACCTGCCAACGGCCCCTTTAAATTTGAACACAGAAGAAGAAGAAAGACCAGTTTTATGAGGCAGTGTTGACCTTAAAATAGACATGAAAACAGTCCAGTCTTAATGGGAAATGCTAGTGGTGTTTTTGCAAATTTTCCTTCATCAGTTACATACACATTCAGTCATTGTCCTGTTGGTTCCATTATATGTCACCATGGGCTCGCTGTCTATTTCTCCATCTGTTCTGTTCTGTGCAACAACTTTGATGTCATGGATGCAATCCAGTCGAGCCTTTTGAAACCCTTATGGTTTCTTCTTAATGTCCTCGTTTCCTCAGTCCCTGTATTTTCCCATTTCACTGTCTGTTTGGCGATTCTCTGTTCGTTTCTTCTTAGAATATATCCAAAATAGCACCATCTTCTCGGACTTATAACTGTTGATGTTAGTGGTTGCCCAGACATTTCTCTGACTTATAACTGTTGATGTTAGTGGTTGCCCAGACATTTCTCTGACTTATAACTGTTGATGTTAGTGGTTGCCCAGACATTTCTCTGACTTATAACTGTTGATGTTAGTGGTTGCCCAGACATTTCTCTGACTTATAACTGTTGATGTTAGTGGTTGCCCAGACATTTTTCTGACTTATAACTGTTGATGTTAGTGGTTGCCCAGACATTTCTCTGATTTTGTTCACATGCCCAGATTTAAAAAAAAAAAGTGCCATTCACAGCCAGTGCTTTTGAATGCTTTCTGCCTTTGCTTCTTCTTTTCAAGCAGTGCTACGTTTGATTCTTCCGCAGATTCATACATTTGATATTTCAACTTGTGAATGGGGCACTCTGAAGACATTGCCAGATCCTCAACATGGTTAGTAATTTGAGCACTACTATGTGGAACATTTACCTCAGCTTAATGTTATTTGCAGGATGTTGACTTATGTATCGATATTGGCTTCCAGCTTCCCCCAGCCTGACGTGGGTACCAGGAAGTGGTCCATGATCGCTTCTCGGTCTTTTGGCTAAGACTAAAGTGTAGCTTTGCTGCACTGGTCTGGCCAAAAGAGCCCGGAATCGGTCACATCCACAATCACGGGAGAAACCCAATCGGCAAATGCCATCTTAAAAAATCTGCCGGGCGGTTTCCCCGTTCAGCCTGGATTACCGACGTAATATCCTTCGGGTGGTCGGGCGGCCAGGCTGGGCATGTGAGGAGACTGACCCGGAAAAAAAAAAAATAAAAAAAAAAATGAAAAAAAGGGAAGTGGTCCATGAAGTAAAGGGGACCTGTATGATGTTCATCACATTACTCATTAAACGCTGAGCATGTCCTCCAACACAGTCTTCTGAAATGCAGTCAATAGAGATGCATTCTGGCCTGTTCCAATCACAATGAAGACAAAGCTGTGTGGTAAACAAGAAGATATGGACTGCACAATAGCTTTCATAAAGGCTACTGGCCTTCTGTCAGAAGTGTCAAAGATTAAGAAGAAGTGCCTGTTGCCTGTAAAAATATGAGTCCAACATCATAGGCCTGTAACAAAGGTGTATTTATATTATTATAAATAAACACAACAGTGAAGATTTTGGGTTCACTAATTAATGAGAGCTGTTGAATATTTATATTGCTATTTCATGTATATAATTATTTTTATATTTTTGAGGTAAACAGTATATCTCAATGAAATTATTACTGCATACATTATTGCCACTGTTATTTTTAAAAAAATTTCTTAAACATTTCAATAATTCCCACATGTTTTTCAGGCCACCCAAAATCTAGAAAGTGCCACAGTTGTTGCCAGTATAAAAATGGTATGATTTACAGAATTGTTTTCTTCTGTTGCTGATTTATTACCAGTTTTTTAAACTCACAATGAACCTGAACCATAGTGTGCACATTTCACTCTGCCCCACCATCTGTTAATGCTGCTTCGTATTCAACTTATCTTTGCTCAAGTCCTCTTCTACATATATTCTTCTCATACCATATTTTACTTGAACCATTTCAATCAGTCAGTCAGGAATGAATACCATCATTAGAGAAAAAGTTGGAATAAGACAGTGACTGATTTATTATTGATAGACAAAGAATGAAATGGTGCTTCCATTTAATGAGATTGCAGCCAGACCAAACTGCAATGAGTTTTTTTTTTTTTTTAAAGTAGCAGAACATCTGGAAGAAAGGTGAGGGGAAGACCCCCCAAAAAAGAGATGATAAATGTTGTAGATGAAACCTTCAAAAAGATGAACAGTCCATTACCCAAGCCACCCAAGCAGCTTGAGGTAAGTACAGAAAACATTGGGCTACAACCGGGTATTATTGAGATGGCAAAAGAAGAATCAGGCATCATCTCTGCAGTGAAGGTTACCTTCAATGGATCTCTACCACCTTCTGTCTCATCCTTGTTATACACTCTCTGGGACCACTGTTTGTTCCTTTTGTGTTATTACCCTTCAGTTTTTATCGTTGTCTAACTCTTGCCGCCCTTACCTTCGATGTTCCCCCCGGAGAGCTTTTTATAAATAGTCTTTTAATGTGGTTTGAAATAATGATTCTCTTTTAATTTCTTTTACTAGTTTTCTGTTCATTTCAAGTTTCTTCAGAACCTGTGTTTTTTTTTAATTTGTGTGTGTGTTTTTTGTTTTGTTTTAATGAAAAAGTCCCTAAGCTGCTGTATATCTACATTTCCAGGGACTCAATAAAGCTTTCTAATTGCATGTTCATTAATTGATTTGCTTTCTTACGAAACTTATCTTTGTCTTGAATATATTCATTCTAATATGTTGAGCTGGAGACATAATAGATTTGTAGGAGCATAATCACTTGAATAATAATCTATCTATGCAGTGGCTAGGGATTCAGTTGCATGATTTGTATCTAATCAGTATGTAGCCAGGTTTACTGCTAATTTCTGAGATACGAAAAGCAAAAATAGAATGGATAATTTCACATTGCATTGAATGTATCTATCAGTCAGTGAAATCTTTGAAGTAGGAGTCATGATTTTGGGTACTGATCCCCCAATCTAGAAACATGAGTAGGGCAGAGATTAAATCTCTCATCTGCCCGATATAAATTTAAAAAACCTAGTCTATATTAGCTTTACAGTGTGCTATAATGAAGTAAGTAAAAGACCCTTCTCCATACCTAAGATAGTATTGAGTTTATGGTGCTCACTTTATAATTTAACTGACAAATTAGCAGTTGATGAGTAACTTTGTCAAAAATCATATCAGCCAACTGTACTTCCCATTAAATTTCCTGGTGACCTTTTTTATGGGTGAACCTACGAGCCTAGAAATCCTTGTCTTCTTCTTCTTCTTCTTGTCATTCATTGGCTGTATACTCTAGTGGAAAGCTCTGGTAGTTCGTCCACTTCTGGACTTCAGAAATATTTCAGAACTTGAGTTTCATGTGAACATCCATTTTACAGATCTGGTTTTTTTTAATACAGACTGTTGGTTCCTTGTCTCTCAGTCAGAGGCAATCTGACTTCAGAGGAAACACCCCTGATTATTCGACTTCTATGACATGCTTGTAACCGGGGCAGTTGGTCTGTTCTTTGAACTCACAGTGGAGCCTTAGAACCCACATGGGGAGAGCCTAGAATAATCTTAGAGAAATCTCCGCTTTGATAAGCATGCGAACACATGACTACTGGTCTAGCAGGTGGGCATACTAGCCTCTGCTTCTATAGTTCCTAAGCAGAACTTTATAGATTCTGACAACTCCTGGGCCAGTTAGTCGTTTAATTTCTTCTCTTGGTGTCACGAACCGGTATTAGTTTAATTGACTATTATAATATATTTTGTATTTATTGACTTGTATGTCTGACTGATTTCTCATGTCAGTCTCATATACATATAATTAACAACTGTTTTTCGAGTGGGAGGAGTCAGTGTGACATCGGCAACCAATGAGGTAATCCTGTATATATATATATATGTTGTTGTTGTTGTTGTTATCGATCCAGCGGCGCATGAGCTTTCGCCCTTTGGCCCAATGCCATGTAGTGGAATTTGCATGTTTTCACAAGCTGTTCTTTTCCTCCGTACAAGGTGTTCCACTTGTCTGGTCTCGGAGGGAGTAGCGTTCTTCTTGTCTCACTGAGTTTTGGGCACTCAAAGAGATGGTGTTCAACAGTTTCGTAGGGGTAGTTACATAGCTGGCACTCTGGGGAGTGTTGTGGCTGTATTCTGTTTAGGTGTCCATTGAGTGGAGTATGTTGCTTTCTAAGTCTGAAGATGGTGGCCTGGTCCCTTCTTGTTAGATGGTTAATGCTGTCATTAGGATCAGGGCCAGACATATGTCTATAAACCTCTCTTCCAGTGTCTCCCATGGCCCATCTGTTCAACCAAGTCTCTTTGTTTATAGCTCTTATCAGTGTTTTTGCTGTCTGGAGGGTTGTCGCTGTAGGTGGTTGTTCTTGTGTTGCTCCTTTCTTTGCCAATCTGTCAGCTCTGTCATTACCTGGTGTGCCGGAGTGACCTGGAATCCACTGCATCACTATTCTGATGTTGTATGAGGTAATAAGCTGATCGGCATCCAGGATTATCTTGGCTATGTCAGTTCTGCAGCGTTCATTGCCCTCCAGAGCTTGAAGGGCAGACATTGAATCTGTGAAGATGACAATATTTTGGACCTTTGAGGGGTAAACATCCATTACAGTCTTTAGGTGGTATACGGCTGTTTCCAGTGCAATTATTTCAGCTTCATAGTTTGAACAGAATTCCCCGCATGCATCAAAAATCTCTTCAACAGATCCATCGGGATAACCTATGTTGATTCCGTAACCTGCTTTAATGGTAGCTTTAAATGCTGATCCATCAGTATAGACATGTATCCATTCTTGGGGGTAAGAATCAACGGTCTTTAGTGATGAGTTCATAAGAGCGATTGGGTCGGACTGTTTGGTTTCCTCGCCTACCAATTTAGTTTGGACTTCTGGAGCTTTAAAGCGAGCATGTGGTGGTAGGTTTTTTGCAACATTCTGAATTCCTTGACGTCTTTCTGGGAGGTGGTATCTGTCCTGAATTTCATTAACACAGTGTAAAACCGATTTGTGCTTTATTCTTTGTTTGGATTCCCAGTTTTCTACAAGATGTCTATTAGGATGGTTACGATTTTCCCTAACGCATCTTTTTATATATATATATATATATATATTACTGTATGTCTCACCACTTTTACGTGTCACTTTCATAGATGTGTTCCTGGTGGGAGGAGTCAGTGGGACATCAGCAACCAATGAGATGACCCTATATGATGACATCTGGAAGTTTTCACTCACGAACGCCACCTGGTTTAAATATTTCACAGCTTTATCAGTTCCCTTGTACTTTCATTCAGCTGATTTTTTACCGGTAAGTGATCCAAAAGTATACAGTATTTATGTTTATTTGGATGATTCCTTCCTTATGGTATAGAGACTTTGACAAGGAAGAAGCAGTTGGAGTCATAATTGGATTAATGGGATATAGAGAAGAATAGCTAGCTGGTATCGTGGAAGTTAAAGCAATCAAATACAGAGACCGGGAATTACGAGTTGCCTAAAAAAAAAGAGCAAGTTAAATATTTTGGTAACATCAATGCCATGGTTGCAGAACCATGGTGGTTTTTCTAAGCAAATTTGCATCCAGAAGTTTGCCATTGCTTTCTGGACGGTTGGCTTTCTTGATACCACTGTTGAAACCAACGCAAGGTGCATGGCCCGCTGCTGGGATCGAACCCGGCATCCCAGCATTACGAAGCGTTCGCATCGACTTAGCCACAGAGCCGACATCAATGCCGTGACCCTCTTTTAAAAAAACTGTACTTGGGGGTTAAAGTTAAAGGCGCGAAGCAAGAGGTAGACAGCGATAAGAGTGAGTGGATAACATAATCAGATAGATGAACAACAGCCTGAGAGAGTTTAACACCATGATGCTAGACAGAGCATATTGGAGATCTATTGCTGACAGCCTTCATCATGGAGACGGTACAGGAGTAATTAGTTAGTTTCATTAAATTATACCTAACTGTGGCTTAAAGATTGTGGATGCTGTTCTGCAATCCTGATACACCAGGTTTTAAAGTCAAATTCTTTAGATTTTAGACAACAATAGGAGAGTAAAAGTCAAAGAAAATTAAAATGAATACTTCACTTTAAATTGGTAATTCTAATGTCCCATAAGTATTGCTGTATGCAGTGGAAAGAGGGTGAGAAACTAAAACAGTGATTAAACTACAAACATTCATTAACTGGTGCTTCTGCAGAATAGAAGGAGATAAATATGATATGATAGAACCACTAATATTGAGCTTTGAGAGTGAAGTAAACAAATTCTAATGAATCAAGAGGTGAGGACAAGATGCTGGCTTTGGGTAGGACACACGTTTGGTAAACTGAAAAAAAAAAAATTATAACTGGAATATCTTTGCACTGGAATCCACAGGGGCATATAAATAGAGGTACATCCAGAAAAAAACACGGGGAAAGGAGCTAGAGAATGAAGTTAAGAAGATGAGGAGGACATGAGGTGGACTGCATGCAGTTGCAAAGGATAGGATGACTTGACATGAGCAGGGCTGCTGAAATAGCATCAGGTGTTTTTAATAGGCAAGCAGTGGCTAGTGTCATTCCCTGCTGATGTAGCAGCTCTTTAATGTCATCAGTCCATCTTCTCCTAGGGCAGCCTCTTGATTTCACCTCACATCTTTTCATGTGTAGAACCTGCACTGGTAGTTGTTCTGGCCGCATTCTTACTAGATAGATGACCAAATCATTTTATCTTGTTGTTTCTCAATGAATTTGGTTTGATGCATGGTACTGTTCCTACAGTTTGTCTGATAAAATCATTTCTAACTTTGTCTTGTATGGTTCAGATGGCAGCTTTTCTCAGGAATCTCATTTCACGTTTTTTTTTTAAAGACACAGAGATTTCTGTGATAGATCGTGTAGGTGGCTGAATGAAAGTTAGTGGCTGTTAGAAATATGACAGCCAATAAATTGTTCAATCTGTTGTTTGTGTTTTCTTTGTTCTGCTTAACAACCAGAAAACCTTGATTTGATTTTCTAAAGTTACTTATTTTTGTCTTTGTTATTGTTTCTGTACAAATTGCCCTGATTTTCTTTTCTTGTACAATGTTTTTGTGTGTCCTTGTACAGAGCAAAGGATGCATCATAATCTTTGGAGGAGTGACCAGCTACAATGGCGATGTGGTGCGAACAAAGCGAATACTTTCTGTCCGAGTTGCTGTCGGTAATCTATTAGAACTAGCTTGGGATGTGGTATGTGACTTTATAAAAGACCGATGGAATGAAATTGACATGAATGAATTAGGAATTCCTTTGTCTTTGCAAACTAAAGTCTGTTTATAGCACTCATTGTTATCAGTTGTAAACAGAATGTAGTTACTGTATGTAGTTGCACAGGCCAGTTTTAACATTGAGACATTACTAGTCAGAAGCATCAATTATAGATAATATTGTTTTAAAACAAATAAATCATTGTATGCCTGTGTTTTCTAAAGGCTGGTCAATATTTGTTTTAATGCTTGAGTTTTCCTGTTCATGATTGATTGGTCTGGCTCATTGAGTGTATTGGTTCAGCTGGTAGAATATATGTTTTGCTGCTTGATTGGTTTAGTTGGTAGAGTGTATATTCTACAGCTTGATTTATCCATGTAGTGGAGTGTATGTTCCACTACTTGATTTGCTGTAGCTGGTCGAGTGTATTTTCTGTTGCTTGATTGGTTGGACTGGTAGTGTGTATGTTTTACTGCTTGATTGATGATGCTGATAAAGTTTATTCTACGGCTTGACTGAAAAAACTTGTATAAATTATGTTGGTTTGTTTGACTGGTTGAACATATAGTTGTTCTTTATAGTATCCACCATATATATTTTAAAAAAAAACATTTGAGCTGTAACTGTTTTTCATTGTACGGGCAAACAAATGGAGAAAGAACTGCCTAGCTACATATGCATATTTTTTTTTAATAAATGGCTTGTGCTAACAGGTTATGTTTGTAATGAAATTAAGGTACATAGTAAGTAAAGTAGAGGACCCTTTTCCATGCTTTGAGGCATATAGGGCCAGACCTATATTTTATACACTCAGTGGGTGATGTGATCAGCATCACGCTGGCAACTTTTACTTTCCATGTACCCTTACCTGAGAGCCAAGTTCATTTTTTTTTTAATATAAATTATTTTTTTTAAAAGTCCACTGCCGCCTGGACCAAAACCCATGACTTTCTGATCCTCATATGAGCGTTTTGCTGCTGCACCACAGCGGCTCGCAAAGTACATAATGTTTTCTATTATATCAGGTTTCCATATGCATATATTACTATTGCCAGCTAGTAGACTATCTGTTTTAATTTAATGCCTGATTGTTGCTTCTGATAGAATAGTAGTTTGATAGTAGTCTTTAAAAAAATTTTTTTTGTTTTATTTAAGAAAGTCTGTTTTATTTTGTATCTTTTTTTTTATTTTTTTTTTTAAATTAGAGTAACTTGCACACTTTCATATTCTCAGGATGTGGAAAGTGCCTGACAGTACAGTCCAGTCTTTATGTTGTACTAGATTCTGTTATTGAAGTACTGTTATTTCTTAGTTGCTTGTGCAGATGGGAAGTCATCGTATATCACCGGTAACGTTCATTGTTGTAGGAGAACTTTTTCAGCTTGAATTTTCTGTGTGCTCTCCATGTCTGTCGCTGTTGACACATAAGGCATTCACAAGTGATCTCCATTGCTGCCGGTCTGCTGCTTTTCTGCCCATTGTTTCCCATGTCAGTTTACATTCTTTCATTTCCCGTTCTATCGTCCTTCTCCAGGTTTCCTTAGGTCGTCCACGTCTCCCTTTCCCATCTGCTGTCCACAGGAGAGCTGTTTTTGCCAGAGTGTCACAGGGCATTCTGCAAACATGTCCAGGCAATCTCCATCCTCTTACTTTGATAACATCTGCCAGTGATACACACTCTGTTTTCCTCCTCAGTTCCTCATTTGTGATCTTATTTAGCCAAAATATTCATAGAATTCTCCTTAAACATTTATTTTTAAAAGTCTCAAGTTTACATGTGATTCCCGCTGTCATTTTGCAACATTCACTGTTGTATAATAGTATTCCTAAAATGTTGCTCTTGTATATTCTGAGTTTTGTCTTCAAACTAAATCCCTTTAACTTCCATATATTGTTAAGCATGGCAAATGCTTGGATTTGCTTTGTTTATTCTTGATATTACATCTTTTTCAGAATCTCCATCTGGTGTAACTTTATTTCTGAGGTATATGAATTTTTCAACTTCCTCTATTGCTTCATCATTTAAGATAATTGGATTTTCTGTTTTGTAATTATTTTTTATTATAATTGGGCTTGAATTACAGATGAAGAATTGTATATTTATTGCTCACTTCCTCTTTTACTCCTTTAAGTGTCAAAGGAGATATGAGATTCTAGTTCTTGCTCTTCTGCCTTGACCGTACATACTTGACACTGTTGTAGTTTCTCAAGTGTTATCTTTCCGCATTGTTCTTGGTCTACCTTGGACTCAGTGCCCATCTCCTCTTTTGGTATACACACTGTGTAGTATGGCATCACAAGTCATTATCTGTAAACAGGTAGACTTGTTTTATCAGCTGTCATTGTATACTGTTCAGTATAGATTTCTATGTTGACTGATCTTTTGTGGCTTCATTCCTATTTCTATGCTGACTGGTCTTTTATGGCCTCATTCCTATTTCTATATTGACTGGTCTTTTATGGCCTCATTCCTATTTCTATGTTGACTGGTTTTTTTATAGCCTCATTCCTATTAACTCTTCTAGTGACACCTCCAGTTTTTCTTAGACATCTCTTGCACATGGCTACTTAGAAACTTAAAAAATTGTGTTTTTGTTTTAAATATGGCAGTGAAAAATAGTAATTTAGTTTATTAGAAATTAATAACAGTAATTTAGTTTATTATTAAGAGAAAAAATAGTGTTATTTTTAATAAGAAAGAGCAGTAATTTAGTTTATCAGCAAGAAAGAACAGTAATTTAGTTTATCAGCAAGAAAGAGCAGTAATTTAGTTTATCAGCAAGAAAGAGCAGTAATTTAGTTTATCAGCAAGAAAGAACAGTAATTTAGTTTATCAGCAAGAAAGAGCAGTAATTTAGTTTATCAGCAAGAAAGAACAGTAATTTAGTTTATCAGCAAGAAAGAGCAGTAATTTAGTTTATCAGCAAGAAAGAGCAGTAATTTAGTTTATCAGCAAGAAAGAACAGTAATTTAGTTTATCAGCAAGAAAGAACAGTAATTTAGTTTATCAGCAAGAAAGAGCAGTAATTTAGTTTATCAGCAAGAAAGAACAGTAATTTAGTTTATTAGTAAGAAAGAGCAGTAATTTAGTTTATCAGTAAGAAAGAACAGTAATTAAGTTAATTAGTAACAAAGAATTGGAATTTAGCTTATTAGTAAGAAAGAACAGTAATTTAGCTTATTAGTAAGAAAGAACAATAATTTAGTTTATTAGTAAGAAAGAACAGTAATTTAGTTTATTAGTAAGAAAGAACAGTAATTCAGTTTATTAGTAAGAAAGAACAGTAATTTAGTTCATTAGTAAGAAAGAACAGTAATTTAGTTTATTAGTAAGAAAGAACAATAATTTAGTTTAGTTTATTAGTAAGAAAGAACAATAATTTAGTTTAGTTTATTAGTAAGAAAGAACAGTAATTTAGTTTAGTTTATTAGTAGGAAAGAACAATAATTTAGTTTATTAGTAAGTAAGAATGGGAATTTATTTTATTCGAAAAACAGTGATGTAGTTTATTAGTAAGAATGAACACTGTGTGCATGGCTCTTGGAAAAAGACACAAGGTTTGACCAGTAGAAAGGGGGACACGAAACATGAAAGATACCCTAGGGGTGAAAATGCATCAGTAAGGAGAACTGACAAGGAATGAGAGTCTTTCTGGAGGGTATGTGAGGTGTCTTGCAGAGAAGGGAGCTGCGTGGTCATGAGGCATGGTGTCTGCCTTGAGTGCTAGAGGTTCTGGGTTTAGTCTCCAGTGGGGACATTTGGCCGGGTGTGTAGAGAGTGGCCTTCGGGTACTACGGAGGTTGAAGTCCAACAATTGATTCACTACAATTCACACCCAGGTAATCTATACTGATGGTTCAGTGTTGAAAGGAAAGAGAAGTGTGTAGGGATTTGTAGCAAAATCCAATGGAAAATCTTTAGTACTAGACAGCAGCTCTCCGGTGGCTAGAGAACAAGATGCATACACACGTCGTAATTGTAACAGACTCTGAAAGTATGCTGAAAAAGGTGAAGACAGGAATGCTTCAAGCAGAGTGGCAAGATTCATTGGAAAGGTCATGGGTAGTGAGTATACTTTGGATCTTTTCTCCATGCCTTGCTTGCGTGGTGGGTAATGAACAGATAGACAGATTGGCTGGATCCGTACCACAGGGTGGTAAATTGATACATGACAAGGCAGATGTGGTCAATGCTCTTTGAGAACAAGCAACAGAAACAGTAGAGAAAGAAAATTATTATGGCCTGGAGATAATGAGGCACCTGGGTGTTACTAGAGGGTCTGGCCAGCTCACTACACTCAGGCAAGACAGAAATTTAACCAGATTGTTACCTGTACCATCAGTATTGGAACTCTGTGCTGGTTACTGAAGATGAGAACAGAGCATGCATGGGAATGCCTCGAGTGCTGTGATGTCAATTCTCAACTCAACTCAACTCCCCAGTAAGGGCTGGGATTTTTTTCACTACTAATTTTTTCTACTAATTCCCCCTGGTCTCTGGGTAGTGAGATCGGACGCCTGTGTGCATTGTTGCGCACGTAAAGAAATCCCTTGGCAGTGGGAAATTGAAAATCAGAGCTTTGCCCGGTCAAAAATTAGAAGTTAAAAATCTGCTAAAGTATTTCAGGATCCTCGCCGGTGCTACAGAGCCTGTGAACTGCTGAGCTTCTTCGGACTCCGACTTAGAGTTAGAGGGAGAACAAAGCACTTATGGGTTACTACCCGTGTGCCATGATGTTAATCCATTGGTCAAACCTCTGATCTCCTGCAGAAAACTGGCTATATCTTGATGATGGCGAATCAGACTAATCCTGGTAGGCAAATACCTCATTCAACTTGAAGCAGACTCCTGAGCTCTCCAGGCTGTGAATAAAAACCATTGGTGTTGAGTGCCTGCCATCGTCAAGAATTATTGCTGACTCTTGCAGTTTTTAATTGTCGTTCAGCCTTGTAGTTCACTATCTCATAGTATGTGTATTGTTGTATGACGTAACATGCATTAAAGATGAAATAAAATTGTTGTATCTTCTTCTTTTTCTTCGTGTTCACTGGCTGTAAACTCCGGCAGAAAG